TATTCTACATTATGATATAAGGAACACATTGATGATGTACTATTCTACATTATGATATAAGGAACACACAGATAAAACACTATTCTACATCATGATATAAGGAACACATAGATGATGCACTATTCTACATCATGATATAAGGAACACATAGATACTGAAGTTTAATTGATTTAATTTCTACTTATCTTATATATCTTAAATCATCAATGAATTAGTTTAAACTCCATGAGAAACAACAAGAAAATAATAATTACGTTCTACTTATTAAAAGATTTCTTTTACTTTAGATATCAAAACAGTTTTGGAATTGACTGTCTAGTTTAGATAATATTTATCAATTATAACAACAAAGTAAACAGACTTATTTCGGATAGCAAAACAGGCTTCGAGCTTATATTAATTCTTGTACATACAACAGCAAATGGAATTTCAGGCCTTAGAACACCTTGCGCACATCATATTGTGAATAACAATTAGATTTAACAATTCGATAATTTATACATCTGGTGAATAGGATAGATTGAAGAATACATTTCTCGTACAAAGTATATGACGCCGTAATTGATATTTGTGGTCACGTGCTAGTTACATTATGCAATGGAATCGAGTCACGTGTATAAGAAATTGGCTGCTATTACAATAGATTCCACACAAATAAACACTCACTACAAAAGGTATATAAATATGTTAATCAAAACGCTTACTGAATTCGATAAAATTTTGAAAAGTTAAAAAATTTCTTTTTTTTTGTCTAGAGAATTATCATTTCCCTATAGAAGATTTGCTAGAATCTACATCTAGAATGTAGAATTGTATTTTGTCTGGTTGCGGTATAATTACTACATGATGATAAGAAATGAAAAATACTTTCAACAAAACCACAACTACAAAGTGGGCGTTCCTCTAAATTTCTAATATAAAGATGTTGTTTTAGAATTACTACATTTAAGTGGTGATCGTCCATGTAATATTTAAAGGGGTCTGCTACCGATGTTAAAGGAACGAGAGACTACTACCTTAACATTTTTGTAAAAATCTTTAGAGTTTACGGACAGATTTTCATGAATGTCTTCAGGTAACGCATTCCATAATTGTATCGAGAAATTTAAAACTGAATTTTTATATAACCGAGTTCTACAAATAATTGAAACTTAATCATTTGAATTACTGGTAAAATGATAATGATTATCGGATACTTATCTATGACTAAATTAGACAAGTACGGTTATGTTTTCGTGCGATAAACTAAGATTTTATGATAATTCCGTCATTTATACAATTTTCCCGGCCCACATCTTTATAGAGTAAACTTCTATTTGACAATGTTGTTGAACCCGTGACTATTCTCGCATTTTAATTCTGGATGTTTTCTAAATTCTTATATAAGTGGTTTGGTAGATCGTTGTTTGATAAAATGTAGTAAATTTTGTCACGACGCAAACAGGCTAGTTATACAAAGACAAGTGGTTAGATGGTGTGAGTCAATCCATTATTTACTTATACCAGAGTTCTTACATAATTAAAAATGTGTGTAGAGGGGAATGGACCGAACTGTTCACTCAATAACCTTACTTACCACAATTATAGTCCAAGTTGTAGGTATTTGTATCGAAGGAAAATCAATGGTCTATGTTAGAAATATCTACTGGTAATTATTTACGGAATCGAATTATTAGCAGATCAAAGTATACATTACAGACAGGAAGAATACAGTACATACACACATTGTAAACAAAACGTCACGTGATCAATCACGCCAACTGACACATTGTTTCAATTAGAGAGGTTTTCGTGGCGAATTCGATATGCCCGGATACTTTGCATTCTTTGATTACAGATGAAACATGCAGGATGTTAATTCCCAAAAGGAATAACAGCAGATTGATGCAATAATTTACTTTGTTGGAAATTATATAATGTTTTCCACTTTTATATTGTAAAGTTCCGTTTCTAAATAATAACATTGCTGTTCCGCTGGAGATTTCACATTGATATTTAAAGTCTTTCCCCCAGTATCACATTACCAGGCACTGTTTGACACCCAATAGATGAATTTCTTTATTTATTTAAACGGGTTTTACGTCCACTATTATGACCTTTCGGTCTTTCAGCGGAAGAGTCATAGATGAACTACTAACAAGGGTTTTGAGAGATACAAGTCGGCAAAGATTCTGGGGCAATTATAAAAATGTGGGAGTCACAATAACTTTATTGTGAAAATATTGTTTTCTTCAATATAACGTTCGGTGTGTTTGATGTTGGTAAATTTGCCTGGTGGTTCCTTTCTTGTTAACCTTGTTCGCATCAGACAACCTTCTTGGACTGACTAAGGTTAACGTGACAGGAATCATTAATGAAGCAGAAGACGCTTACTCTTCAGGAACATCTGGCTGAATTAAAAAATATTTGATCACATGACTGTTCTGAAAAATAGTTTCTACTTTTGTTTGTTATTTTGAAAGTGACTTTCGTTTCATATTAGGATAACGGAAATCCCGTGAACATTGATATCGGAAGTTACTGTCATACAGACATCGGATTATACATTTTAAATCACATAAGACATCTCCTTAATCCATGGGTTTTACTCTTGATGTCTTTACCTTCTGTTCACAGTTGGTTTAATCAAATTGAGGGTTTTCAGTTAGAATTTAACAAATTAGTTTATATGCATCCATAATCAGTAATTCCGGACAATGTACATAATCACCAGTGTTGTGTGTAACCCTGGTGTTAAATGTGAGGCTGTAACGTGTCGCTCGTTGTGCATGAACTACCATTGGATTTAGTAATCTTATCGTCATTTCATGGAACTTTGTGTGCAAAACTGGCACTGCTTTATTTTGTCTACATTCAAGTTCCATGAAACTTTGTGTGCAAAACTGGCACTACTAAATTTGTCTACATTCAAGTTCCTTATAACTTTATTTGCAAAACTAGCACTTTTTAATTTATCTATATTTAAGTTCCATGGAACTTTAGATATAAACTTTGTTCTATTAAACAGGTGTAATTTAAGTCTGTATGTTGTTCATCTATCCACGCTGATACTTCAAAGATTCTCGTATACAAATCAGGCACTTGTACAACTTTGAGGCAATATCGTTAAATAAAAATATTATTATATGAAACTTCATTCAACATCTGATTACACAGCAGGTGTATGTTAATGGTCAATAAATACATGCAGCACACTATAAAGGTCACAGGTCAAATTAGTCATAAATTCATATCAAAGTTAACACCAGTCTTTTCAATTCCATGTCTTATACACGTAGCACAGTAATAACAAGCTATGACCATGAGGAACTGTATGTTAATAAGGGACTACATCTAGATATATTCATGAGGTTCTAATTTCATGGTTAATTTCATTCACATATAAATTTGCGGATTTACAGTACCTACCAATTAAATGAAAATAAATTAACAATTTGAAAGTAATATACCTGTAACTAAGGATGGGGCAGAATCTGAGTAGGGAAGGGGTTATGATGATGAATACAATCAGAAAGAAATAAAGAGGACTGTAGGACATCAATAAATCTCCAAAGAAGGAGAAAAATACCAGTTCCTAAAAAGGACATTTTCCAACATTTACATAGGGGTTGAATTAACAGACTAGTCAAAAAAATATCTCAGGTGATCAATGTTAATTAATATGGCATACTCTTCCAATTGCATGACAAAGGTCAATAGGTCAAATTTATGTCAAGGTTTAATCTATAGGTTACCAAAGTTCATAAGTCAATTAAGTCTTCATTATCAGTCAATATTGCATCATTTTCACATCTTGTTACAATGCAGTTCATCAAAGGTCATAGGTCAAGAAGTAATCAATATCCATTTGTATTGTTTAGTTTTCATTTGTAGATTTGATTGCAACTCAAAGTTATACCTAATATGACTGTATAGGTCACCAAAGGTCACATATCATATAAGTCATCTATTTCAATCAATAGTGATGCATTATATAGGATATCTACTGATTAGTCAGATTGCTCCTTTCTTCAATGTCAATACACACATTCAGGTCAAGGTCAACTAATAGGTCTTCCAGGTAAGCTAACAATACATAACACTTTCTGGTTTACAACTTACATACCAGGTGAAAAGGAAAGTTATAAATAGAGGTCAAGTTTTCATTTATATTGCCCCTAACAACAATCTTTTGCTGAACCTTATAAAAACAGACATTGATGTTATTTTTAGACTTAACATCAGTAATTGCTGTGGTGGCCATATTGACTTCTGCTGGTTATGAAATCATCATCATTTGTCTAAAATCATCATTTTAAGGATGGTGGTGATGACAGCCATCTTGAATTTCATTTTCCCTTAAAACATGATAGAAATTGATCAGTACCTTGAATTGATCACTCAGAAGAAATTTCATCTAAAAGTTTATGAATGCCAGGTGACTGATATAACTTCACAACATTAGCTCATGTGACCCTTAATTCAGCTCAGGTGAGCTATGAGAGAGTCTTTGACTTAGTTAATCTAAAATGTGTGTCCTAGGTCTTTGAATTAGAAAGAAATTGCCTCACAACAAAGATTGTTTCCAAAAACCTGCGCAGATATGTCCATTAAAAAATATTCCTATATATGAGCAACTATTTTAAATACATGTCGTTGTACAAGGTCATATCTCCAAAAAAGTCAACAGGTGAAAAGGTTTAAATAATTGTCCCATGTTTAGTATTGATGATCCACACAAGGTCGGGATACAAATTAAAATTTGACAAGCTGCTGATCCCAAGAACAGCTTGCGAGCTGGACTAGTAGTATCCTTAAATCTTGTTTACATGGTTATATCCTCAGAACACTGTAGTAGCCAAGCAATACTCAGACTTAGGTCCCCTATCAACCAACACTGAACAGTCGCACTTTATCATCTATGTTGACTAATAATTTGTTCTTCTCATGAATGACAAGGGTCATTCAACAAAATATTGTGTAAAAATACAAACAAACCAAAAAAAACAAACAAAAAAATCTTTAATTTTATCATATTTCTTTATTAAGTTTTAAAAGGGCAATAAATTGGAATATTGATATATTTTTTTGACCATCCTGTGATTTTGTTCTTTTTTTAATTACATATCCATTAATCACGGGAACAGTCCAAAGTTTTTATCATACAGGGTCACTGTAATCTAATCAAATAAACACAACAAGGAAACCATAATTAATGCTATTATTGCATTTTTAACATCGTATGTATAAGAACATTGTCCAGAATTATAAATGGCACTTTTGTTGACATGAAAACATATCTTCACGTCTATGATGTACAAACCAGGATGAGAAATTATGATGGAAAATTATGATTGGATGTATCCAACATTTATTGGTTAAAAATGTTTGAGTGGTTGATTAGACCAAATGAAGAGTGAACAGTCATGATACACTTGTATCTTTCCATTGCATCATTTTAAGGTTGTTAGGATAAAGATGACAGTAACGACACAAGGGAAATAACTCTGGTATATCAGTTTCTTACAGATTCATGTCAATTGCATTTTAATAACAGAGATCATTAAAAAAATCCATATATATATATATATATATATATAACAAATTAATTCTGTTCCTGATTAACATGTATGAATTGTGTATATATACATTATGACGGAGGTAATTCTCCTAGTGATGGTGATCGATGGCAGAAATAACCATAGGAATCCACTTTTTTCAATAAGCAGATGAATTCCTCGTCTCTAAAGTGGATGTTTTGATGTTGGATTAGAAGAAACCAAGAAGAGACAGGCCAAATAACACTGTACAGACCAGCAAAGTCAGCAGGCCAATGTATGCGAAGGCGCCCCTATTCCTTTTCTCTGGGTCTGCAGTATGAAAAAACAAGCTGTTTACTGCATGGAATTCACTCATGGAAACAATTGCAATACAGTATGGTTACATCTCCCCAATGATATATGCAATACATTATGTAGGCTACTGTTGCTATGGAATACTTACCCCTGGTACAATAGCCCATTATGTAGGTTACTGTTGCTGAGGAATACTTACCTCAGTTATAATAGCCCATTATGTAGGCTACTGTTGCTGAGGAATACTTACCCCAGTATAATAGCCCATTATGTAGGCTACTGTTGCTATGGAATATTAATAGCCCATTATGTAGGCTACTGTTGCTGAGGAATACTTACCTCAGGTATAATAGCCCATTATGTAGGCTACTGTTGCTATGGAATACTTATCCCAGTATAATTGCCCATTATGTAGGCTTCTGTTGCTGTAGAATACTTACCTCAGGTATAATAGCCCATTATGTAGCCTACTGTTGCTGAAGAATACTTACCCCAGTATAATAGCCCATTATGTAGGCTACTGTTGCTGAGGAATACTTACCCCAGTATAATAGCCCATTATGTAGGCTACTGTTGCTGAGGAATACTTACCCCAGTATAATAGCCCATTATGTAGGCTACTGTTGCTGTAGAATACTTACCCCAGTATAATAGCCCATTATGTAGGTTACTGTTGCTGAGGAATACTTACCCCAGTATAATAGCCCATTATGTAGGCTACTGTTGCTGAGGAATACTTACCCCAGTATAATAGCCCATTATGTAGGCTTGTGTTGCTGAGGAATACTTACCCCAGTATAATAGCCCATTATGTAGGCTTGTGTTGCTATGGAATACTTACCCCAGTATAATAGCCCATTATGTAGGCTTGTGTTGCTATGGAATACTTACCCCAGTATAATAGCCCATTATGTAGGCTTGTGTTGCTGAGGAATACTTACCCCAGTATAATAGCCCATTATGTAGGCTTCTGTTGCTGAGGAATACTTACCCCAGTATAATAGCCCATTATGTAGGCTTCTGTTGCTGATAATAGCGATGTAGGCTTGCTGAGGAATACTTACCCCAGTATAATAGCCCATTATGTAGGCTTCTGTTGCTGTAGAATACTTAACCCAGTATAATAGCCCATTATGTAGGCTTCTGTTGCTGAGGAATACTTACCCCAGTATAATAGCCCATTATGTAGGCTTCTGTTGCTGAGGAATACTTACCCCAGTATAATAGCCCATTATGTAGGCTACTGTTGCTGAGGAATACTTACCCCAGTATAATAGCCCATTATGTAGGCTACTGTTGCTGAGGAATACTTACCCCAGTATAATAGCCCATTATGTAGGCTACTGTTGCTATGGAATTCTTACCCCAGTATAATAGCCCATTATGTAGGCTACTGTTGCTGAGGAATACTTACCCCAGTATAATAGCCCATTATGTAGGCTTCTGTTGCTGTAGAATACTTACCCCAGTATAATAGCCCATTATGTAGGCTTCTGTTGCTGTAGAATACTTACCCCAGTATAATAGCCCAATACATAAGTTATCCTAGCTGTTGATTATACATATATAATTACCTCCAGTATAATAGCCCATTGCGTAGACCACACGTCCAGCTATCCAGATCAAGCCAGCGACAGCTCCCAGTTTCTACAACATTTGTAAAAAAAGTGGTACACATATATAGTTACCTAAAGGAACTCCAGTAAAACAGACTATAACCTGATGACAATGTGTATTTAGAATAATCACATCAAACCAAGATAAAAAGGCTAGCAGAGACTCTAAAGTCAAACAGAGATAATTGAAATGAAGATATGTATTAACCCAGTTACCTATCATCACAAGCAACATGATGTAATTAGAATTATAATGCAAATCTAGAATATTTTAATCTTCATGACCTTGAATATTGGTCTGTTTCATTTCATTAAAGTGTTAAGAACTTCATACCAGTAACCCACCAGTGACCTATCATGTTCTGGGCCTTTTCATTGTCACTAAGTGTTTAGGACCATCCCAGTAACCCACCAGAGACCTACCATGTTCTGGGTATTTTCATTGTCACTAAGTGTTTAGGACATCATCCCTAGTAACCCACCAGAGACCTACCATGTTCTGAACCTTTTGGTGAATAAGTAATTTCATTGTTTTATCCAATTTGACCTTGAATTTCTTCGATGGGTTTATTTAATAGGTATACAGAAAACATTATTGATATTTCCCAATGTTTATCTCAGATTCTGTACAGGTAAATCACAGGTAAAAACTGAAGTAATAAGAAACATTATAACAGCTTTTAAAATAACGCCTATATCAATACCGTATATTTTGGAGCCTCTTGATTAATCTTGTACTCTTTCCTACTTAGGAGAAGTTGATGCCAGATGAACAGCACAGATGAATGGCCACAACATTAGCTCATTTAGCTTGGAATGATGGGCTAGAAAGATTAATATATAATTTGATGTACCTACCGGTGCATATAGGCCTCCAAATATCTGTAGCACTAGGTATGTTGGAAACACTTCCAACCTGGAGTAAACAAAAACAGACATTTGATCACAAATCATATAAATCACATTCACTGATGTAGGTAATCTATGGCTAGCTGTCAAAACATGTGTAGAGCAAGAAAGTAAAATTTTTTTTATAAAACTTTGACAATGATTATTTTTCATACAAACATATTAAACTTGTTCAAAGTTAAATCAACCAGCTGTTGCTATGACAACAAAACTCATTTAATTGAGTTTTCAGCATTTTGATACATCTCAGTATCAAATTTCATCACTTGATTCAAGAATAAAGTATAAAACAAAAATAAATCTTTCAGTTCGGAATCCTCCATCTGGTTGCATTGGATACCATCATAAAGATATCATATAAATTCTGAATATCTGCAGATCAATACTGATTCTTACGGCAAGTTCCATTAAAATTGTGTGTAATCGGAAACATTGGAATAGAATATAAATTCAAGTTTTCATATTTCATTATATACCATACATGTACATGCCAAATCTAAAATGACTGGTATTACTCACTGAATGGAAACTTTGATGCCCTGAAACCAAATTGAGATCATTTGGTACCTTCTATGTATGAGAATACTTTCTCATTTTTAGAAAACATCAATGGTCCCCAATTTTCATAAGCTAAAATCTGTTGAACTGGATGTCTGATGTGATTTATTCCAGCTGGACATTCAATAACCTAGCTGAGACATCATTGGTTGATTTTTTTTTTCTTTTTGTTTCAAAAAAATTTTTGGCAGGATGCATTTCTAACCATTACTGTAAAGGGTTGTTCAGTTAATTTAAATAGTTTAATATTCTTAATATGTTTTACTTCCTTGTGGACAGATGATGATTTTTAGTCAAGATATTTTATCAATCTATTAAGATGATAAAAAGTTCTTAATCAGTTTGAGACAAAAGTTTCTGTGACCCATCTCGTGTTCGGGGCTGATGTCATGTACAATTTTTTTACCTTTCTTAACTACATCATATCTACAGTAGTATCCGAGATGAATGTGAAAATCTAACAAAGCTGTTATAAATGACAGATCATAGATTTCCTAAACCTACAGACATGAAGATCAGTTCCGTGTAACCCTTCCTAAAAAACTACATACCCGGTATATGTACCAAATATGGTCATGATCGGCACAATGAACAGAAGCTATTGCTACGGTAAATTTATTTTCAGTTGTGAATCATGTGACCTTTGACCAGACATCTGTGTCCAATTATTACAAGAAACCAGCTATTGCATGGAAAGTGAAGACAGCAGAGAACAACACAAAAAAATCTAGTGGTATGTCTCCCCATCCTAACAAAGTGATGATTTAAATGTAATTATGATGAAGAGAATGTAAACCACTAATCCTTTAGGCCATACTTCATGTTTACATGTGGTACTAAAAGTGGTCCTGGCTGGTCATGATCATCATCTTAAAACAAATAAAATACCAATGGTAACTAACACTTTTAATGTAAACAAATCATACTGACAATATTTAATTTATAGTGTTAGGGAATCAATCACAACAGCTTCGGAGTAAATTGATATGGATTTATTTTGAACCGTCAACCGGTTTCGCCCGAGCTTCATCAGGACGACAAATTAACAAATTTTTTGTTGAGGTGCCGCACGGAGGTGTAAGTGAATCCACTACTCTACCTACTAAATTGAACGGCGTTGTCTCTATCACCAAAATCCTACTTAATTAATAAATACATGTACATGTTCTGATAGTCAAATTCACTAAACAATACATATTTATGTTTGTCACCACATACGTGTTCTGATGAGCTCTCTGTACACAGTTGAAACGGTCATCAGTGGGGCTATATAATTTTGGGTACTGCAAATATAAAAAAAGAAAGAAAATCATTGAATTAATAGAAAAACATGGTTTAATGTTGTTTGTAACACGTATAAAGTACTCAACTTTTCATGTTTTCTGAAGTATCAACTAATTGCACCTGTTGCTGAAAACGAAGTAATAAAAACACTGTATTACACGACACTCTCTACATCTTTAACACTCGCCTATATTTCCTCACACTGTTTCCTTTCATCTCATTTTGCTATCTTTTTTCGGTCGCTAAAAGCCGGAAAGGTCGTAATAGTGGACGTTAACCCCTTGTATTGATCATGGGTATATCATGATTATGTATCATATATTAGCATTGCTTTTAATCAACAGGTAACATGCAACACCGTGCAAATCTTGTTATACAGCAGTGAAATAGCCAAAACTCCAATACCTGATCAACATTATGTTATGATACTACAGTTGCACAAAATATAAGCTTAAACTTTTAGTTGTCAACCCCACCCATCCTTTTATCGAACACTAAATCTGACAACAGTGTCAATTAACTTACGCGAACATCATACTTCTTCCTCGCCATAACGACTTGAATCCCTAGCCATTGCAACAGAAAAATTGATGCAACGATCACAAGGATTACGAATCCGAAATCAGGAGACAATGCAAGCTCTGCCATCTCAAAATACCCGTAGAATGATATGATTAAGCAAAGTTGTTATTTAGGTCGTCAGTAAAGCGTCACTACTAAATTTAGAATTGATAGAGCCTACCGTCCGCTTCGTTTAGTAAATGGGTCATTCAAACCCCAAGTTATAAACATGACCCTGAGATGGCATTCGTTACTTTTGATACAAAACAAGACAAGACCTATATATATGTGTGAAATTAAAAATATTTCAGCAGAAATATCATGTTGCGATCTGAAATCATATTTCTGTCCAGAGAAATCGCTCAACCTGCGTAAGTGCACGCGGACTTAAATGGGTACCAGAACACGGCATTCGGATATTCCAGAGTTACTTCCCTTGGTTTCACACTCGGTGGCATGGTACATTGCACTGGCATGTACAGACATGACATTAAAAAATTCTTGGAAAACACTTTGTCAGCGGTATACATAAAACATAGTCAGAAGTATACGCAAATGAAATTATCTTTCAAGGCACAAGACGTTTCCAGCAAGATTGAGACAAAAAGTTAGTGTCAACCATCACATCTGTCATTGAATCCGAGGGTTTTTTTTTACTGACTTCTGATGACGGTAGATTTTGGTATACTAGTTCAAAAATGGGGGAAATATAATTTTTTCATTTCCATTGCTACTGTTCTCATTTTTCTTTGTGGTATATAATTAGGTCTAAAACTGATTAAAAATCTTCATACGATCATGAATGTCCGATTTTTTTCTCGGGATTCCAATATTTCAAATATGTGACGAAAATTCGTGAAATTTCCACTGAAATATATCCAAGCCTTCCATAATTTTACTCAAGAGAAGAACACACGTAGTAACAGAATATTAGCACAATCAACAGAGTAACGACGTTAAACACCATCACAGAATGTGGTCCACAAGCAAAATTTTTTATAATACAAAAATGGATATTTCTGCGAAGGGACATGTAATTTGTATTTTACGTCCCTGATCTGCATCACTACATGTGTTCAACATACAGACAGTTGTCAGTTCCGGAATATGTTAAGTTTTGTTTGTGTTTTTATGACATTAATTATGTGTACAGTATAGGCCTACAATAAAATTTTGTCAGATTCATTGATTAAGCAATTTGTCATCCGGTGCGGTCGTAAATGATATATAATTTACTGAAATGGTATTCTCGATGGTTACGTCATCGATATATTGTACTGCAATAGGTAGGTCAATGAAAACAGTCTACACTGTATGTGATTATTGATTTTTCCGCGCAAGGCAGCTGCAGTTTCTTATTAACTGAAGTATAATGAACGAATAAAATTAAGTTAAAATTGTCTTCAAACAAAGACTCATATAAGTATAAAGATACATATAGATATATATTTATAGAAGTACGTATGAATTTCCTAACCGACAACCTGTGTGCACGACTGCATACCTATATATAGGTTACCAATTAGTAACCTACGTATTATATGTATGTACGTGCTTTCTGAAATACATGTGTACAGGCTTACACACACTCCCGTCTCTTCAAATCTTTATGGTAACCACGTGTCTATCTTATAGAGAAAGGTTAATCTATGTTTCATGCTTACATGTATATATGCACGATGTATGTATGTGAAGCCAGATGTTCAACAATCACTCACACTAATGGAGTACAATTAACAAAGTGGTGTATATATATTGTCATAAGTGTACATTACTTATATCATAAAGCTTTAATGACTTACCAATCGCGATACGATTTCATTATGTTGTGTTTGCTAGAGGAGACCGCGAAATGACACATACATATTGGTATGAGGTGATATAGGCTAACGAAAACAGAGTCTGTGGAAGATCAAACTGGTGTCACATATTTACACAGCTTCGAATTGTACAATCATCATACGTCTCTGGTATTAATTGCTATTTTCTGTTTCGTTTATACTTTTCACAGTCTCATCATGCTACCAAATACTTTTGATTAAATACTTGAAAAGTAATGAATTTTATGTTCCAAATTAAAAAAAAAAATACGATATAAAATGTTTTAATGTGTTTGGATATTAATTGATAAATATATGCTTTTATTGAAGAATGTCAAAACTGTGTTTTCTGTTTAATTAAGAAATAGCACGCAAATAGCACTACTCGTTTAATGATATTGTTTAGTGTCCTATCACATTTTATTGATTTCACGCGGGCACGAAACTATTACCCTTCATTATGAATGGAATCGCCTTGTGTGTAGTGCGCGAGACATTCCGCGTGCGACGCTTGTAGCTCGCGAAGGTCAACACCAATTTCGACAATAAGTACTCGTGTGTCCTTGTCTGACATTACCTGATAACTGCACACGTGAATGTATTACAGGAAGATGAGCTTGTTAATGCCAGCACACGAGCACACTTACATGTAAACATGGTATTTACGAACGATAATGCTTGCAGGTTGTCGATTTCTTTTCGCCAGTGCCGTGTGTGGGACTGCATGTTCACAACACATCATGCATTCATGTGGTGTCATTTAATCTCGCCACGTTTTTTTTCATGAACGTGCATCTTGAAAAAATTGTATATTTTGACAAAACTATATATGGCTGGGAACGAGTGCAAGATGAACCTTGTGAAAGGTAAGTTGTTTATATTTTCTCATTTCCTAGCCTCACCTGGTGAGTCAGTCTCCGACAGCGTCACCTGTGTTTGGAGATAGAAACAATCTATATCGATCGGTGGTAGGGATTTATGTTTGTAACCGATCTTACCAGCGTGTTACTATATGTATCTTGTGCTTATCTCTTTACAATCTAAGCTTTCCTGACTGTATACTCTGCAGCTGTAGCCCACTGTATAATACTTGTCATCATCAGTATTATCAACTTAACCCATCAGCAATAATATCACTCAACAACTCTCATCATCACACAGGCTGAGGAATAATGCTCCATCATATGACAGAATCATGTTGTTCCGACCTCCTCATTTATAATTTTTCATCAAAATGCGTCATCCTTCTCTTTCTATTTCGGTTATTGATGTTGTTGTTCCCCCTCCTGATTTAGGAGTCCTCTATTTGCCCTTTTCTCTTCCTCCTCATTCACTCCTCTACTGAATCTCCTCGTGGTTATTTCTCGTCTGTCATACATTTCCTTGTACTTTAAACTGTAACTTACCCCTCTTATCTTGGCACCTTTGATTTTTTTCTTATCCTCTGTCTTCTCATCTCCTTCATACTGCTCATTCACTCTCTCCATCTTTTATTTTTCTTATTTTCCTCCAGCCTTTTCTTGTCCTTCCTATTGTTCATTCTTCCTTTCCATCTTTTGATTTTCTCCTTTCTCTCTTGTTTTGTCTTGTGGACTTTCTCAAACTGCTGGTCTTTCTGTTCTTCCTTTTGTTATTTCTCATGTTATTTTTTATTTTTTTTTCTGCTTTTTTTCTGATTCTTGTCAGGGAAATGATCAGTTAAAAGATAAGAGTGATATCAGCAAAAATGCTCAAAGTTGTCATCAGATTATTGATTGTTTGGAGTGGCGATGTATTCACCATTGGTCTGTTTAATACATTTTTAATGAATAACACATTAGAAAACGGATTCACAGGCAAGTGGTTGAAAGGTGACAGTAGGAAGGGAGATAATTCTTACATTCCTATAGGAAAAAAATGTTGTCTTCCATCACATGGATGTACATATTATATACATTAAGTACTAGGTATTTATTGATGTTTGTTTACAAACATTCTTATTAGACGTGAAACATTGTCAAATGGTATGAATGCATTTCTATTTAATTACATGTATTTTCACTGTGTTATGTCTCATTCTTGTGATCAAAAGCAATGATACAATTCTGCCAGACTCCAGGACTCGGTAGGAGTGAAAATAAATTTTTGCAGTGAATTAATAATCCTAAGATTTCATTGTGAATGCAAGATATTGATAAATAAAAAAGCCAAAAATCCAAAAATCCAAATAAAGTTTCTTCAATGCATTTTAAAAATTTGTTAAATAAAAGTTTTTAAATATAATTAATTAATATCAATAATATTTCATGGAACAGAGTTCTGTACTTGTTGACAGATTTACATCAAAATGGAGTATTCCATAATATTGATTATTTTATAGTAAGGTTGAAGAAACGCAGAAGCTTAGGAATTTTCTGTAAAGAGTGTTTCTGCATACTGTATGTACCTTTATTTACCATGTGGTCCCCTCTTGAGATAATACAATGTTGAAGCTGGGACTACAACATGGCTATATGTAAAGGTTTATTAGAATCACAGATATACATATCCTTTCTTAAAGTGCTGTCTGGTTTCCCAATTACTGGCTATTGTACAATATAGCTTTTGGATTACCCCTGTATGAGATCTATAAATAACCAGTGTTACTTCGTGCAGTTTTATTGATCACCTACAGTTTTTACCATAAATATCCTGATAAAGGTGCTTGTGTTTGGTTTGTGCTGTATATTCCTATTAAGAAGAATGGGTAATTTGGGTCAGGACAGTCCGAGGCTGTTTTTTTTATTCTTTTCAATATGTTTGCCAGCTGAGGAGGTCACTTGATCAAAACAACAGGCTAGGGTCCATCGATCAAGGGGGCGGCAGCCTTTTTGGATCAAAGGTAGCATCCTTGTCTAGGGTTCTAGTGAGAGAGGGATATAGGACAGGATAGGGGCCTGAAAGTGGTTTTAAGCTACTTAGAAGGCAATGGGAAGCACTTGCAGTCTTACGGGTAATAAAAAATGACATCATGACATTAGTTTGATCATACTGAAACGGGAATGTCTGAGCTGTCAACAGCTTGCAACATGTCAAATTAAAACCAACCTGAAATTCACTAAGCATAGTTATTGAACTATCAAAGGTTTTTAGTATAAAAAAGTAAACTGATTATGAACCTGATTATTAACTTAAGTCAGCATATTACCTTCTGTCAGCATAAACCTGGTCTCTTTCATTTTATCACATATGGTCGAAACCATTTGCCTGATTGGACCAAATTTGTTGATGAAGTAGCCATGGACATATCTATCAGGTGTTGCTTTCTGACTAATCATGAAAAGCCAGTCAAGGCTACATTAATCTTTCAATGTTAAAAATTATTCCTGAAATGTTT